CTGTTCCTAATGAAATCAAGGTACCAAAAGGAAAAGTGACAACTGCCTAGAGAATCTGGTGCAAAGAGGCTGACACCGATTACAAAGGTGCACAGTATAAGGCACCTGCCCACCCTGTTCGCTCAGACAGAAACTCAGCCCGTCTCTGCTCCCCACGGCCGCGGGGTGTGACGGGAGGTGGCGGGGCGTGATGGGGGCGTGTCCGCTCCCAGCAGCCTGCCCATCTCATCGCTGTTCCTGCCAGCCCAGATTCACTGTCATTCTGCATGTGGATGACATGACAGCAATGGGCAGAAAAGGTTAGACAGCGATCGATTCTTGATAGGAGTAACTTTATAGCAAGCGTTCCGTCAAGACCCAGAAGAAAACACTCACTTTACCCTTCTGTGATGCTACAATGTTGGAAGTTCCGATTATTTGCATTTAGGGATCCTTCAATAGGAGACGGGCAGAGTTCTTGCTTTCATCGACTGACAACTTTCTAAATAACTAGTGCAAAATTACACTGCAGTGTGGTACGTGTAGGAGGAACAGTTAAACTACTGCTTAAGACGACTGTTTTTAGACCCCTTCGAATGCTTCAGAAGCTTTCTGAAAAAAAAACAGTAGTTCCCATGTAAGTCATTTTTCTACCATTTAAGGATACCTAGTAAATTTTACAAAATAATATTGTTTGATATTTTTAAATTAATATTTAACATATTTTAAAATTAATATTTAACATGCCATAATTTGAACTTTTTGCTAAGTGACCCTAGCCTTCCTCTAGTTATCCCAAATGGTGAGAGTTTACACTATGTTTTTTTTACATAGATTTGTTTCCTTTTGCTGTTTGGAGGACATTACTGTATCTACTCACTTAACCTGCATCTCCAGAATATTCAGATGGATCAGTGGGCAGTAAAGTGAATATGCAAAAAAGTTACTTCAGAAGAAAGGGAAACGTTTTCACATGGACTCATTTTTAGCATGTCTGCCCTCGTCTCCACTTGGAACATGTTTTGTCCCCAGCTCTGAGGCTCCCTCCCCATGTGGTCTCTGACACACCCAGAGAAATGCCTGGACTGACTGTGACACAGAAGGCAACTGGGCAGGGGTCCCAGGCAGGAAGGTCATCTGCAGTGTGACCCCAGCCCACGACCCTATGACTCAGATCACCCTTTTGACAGCCCGGACTGTGACCACCGAGGTCAGCCGCTCCAATGTCATCTCCTCTGGTTCCAGATAAGATCGAAGACGAGTTGGAGATGACCATGGTTTGCCATCGGCCTGAGGGACTGGAGCAGCTCGAGGCCCAGACCAACTTCACCAAGAGCGAGCTGCAGGTCCTTTATCGAGGCTTCAAAAACGTAAGACCCACAGGCCTCCGAAGGCTCAGGCGGGCGTCCCACATGGGGCTGAACGGTCCCAAATGCTGAGGGGGCCCGTCAGGGAGTGTTTCCATGTGTGTAGTTGTAAAGAAAGGTTAATTCTATAAAGGGATAGGAGAGCATGGTCGCCTGGCTGGAAAGAAAGACTCCAGGCAAGAACGAGACGGTCTCCGTGGGTGGGAAACTGGCCGCCAGCCCAGAAACGTCACGGGATGGCACAGTCTCAGTGAAGTCACCCTTCCTGCGTCCCGACCTTAGCAAAACCGACTCTCACTATCGATATTGTTGGTGCCCCAGGAATAATGGGGTTTAGGTCTGCCACTGACCAAGCTCACAGAGACTGATGCGTGAGCCTGAATGCCACTGTCCTGATGTACCGCATTATTTCATATATGAAACCTCATACCGGCCTTGTTGGGAAGGTCCTGTTGGCCTCATTTGATAGATAAGGACATGGAGGATGAGGGACAGACTCGCCCAGAGTCACAAGGCTTAGCAGCGGCTGAGCCAGGAACCAAACCCAGGTCTTTCTCATCCCAAAGTCCAAACTCTTTCCACGCCCCCGGGGCCCATTCTCTGATAAAGTCTCATCATTTTGCGAAGCAACTTCAGTCCTAAGCTGGGGCTGCTTCCCAGCCGCCCACCTGGGAGACAAGGAAGTCCCTGCCCACCAGAGGCCACGAGGAACCCCAGACCCCAAAGCTGGGCCCAATCTACTCCTCCGGGGTTGAGCCCGCGGACGCACCCACTGACTCTGTCCCCTCGCGCAGGAGTGCCCCAGCGGTGTGGTCAACGAGGAGACATTCAAGCAGATCTACGCTCAGTTCTTCCCTCACGGAGGTGAGTCCGACCTTAGAAAAGATCCCGCCCCGCTCCCTCTCCGGTGGGCAGCCTTCCTTTCTCCACGTTTGTGTTCATGCGCCTTGTTATCTGCCTCCGCCTCAGCGTTGGGGAGACAGAGCAAGAGTCCCCCCTTATCACGAGATGGGGGGTTTACCGAAGCGTTAGCAGAAAAAAGCTCTGAAAACAGACTCTCACCAGGAGAGGAGAGATTGACAAGGCAACATTATACAGTCTCTTAACAGCTCTAGAAAACAGGTATTTTCATCCCAGACGGGGGCAGCTGCGTCTCAGAGAGGCCGAGCGATTCATTCACGATCACAGGGCTCGGGAGTGGCGGACCAGGATGAGATCCCATCAGTGTCTGACGTCAAGCTTTGTCACCTTGGCGCCACCATCATGCCACACGCTCTCCATCCTTTTTCCTGCAACAGCTGAGGCAAGCTAGAGTTTTGAAAAAGAAGCTTAGTAAGTGCCAGAGGCCCTAAAAGCGAACTAATCCAAAAAGATGCGGGGAGCATAAAGTGCTCATCCATCTAGGCGAGCTGGTGTGCCGGGCCCACAGCCGCCCTACTGCCCAGCCTGGCTCCTGCGGGAACCCACTCTGAACCTGTGGGCCTGGGACATCCATAGCTCTTCCTGTGGCTTCCGTGAATCACATGCCACCGTACTTCCTGCCCTCAGAAGCTATCTCCTACGGGACCCTTCCCTGGCTCCTGAGGACAGAGAGACCCACAAGTCCCAAATACTCCTTGGGCTCTGCTTCTCACAGGCTCTTCAGCAGCAGACAGGAGCCTCACGGGGTGTGAGACCCAGTACAGAGCCCCTACTCAAGCTGGGGGGGAGAGGGAGGGACGCGGTTCTGACCCATTCAGGCCTGGAAGCAGCCATCGTTGAGTTAGTTCTATTGAGCTATTCTTCATTGAGTTTTGACTACGTGGCGGGCTTAATGGTGGTTTTGAGGATGCGACTATGTGAAAAGGTTAATATCCTTTTACAGAAATGGTAAGAGCTAGGTCTTACTGCATCCCGTTGCACGGAGATAGGAAACTGAAGCTCAGAGAGGCTGGGTGCCTGCTGTCACACAGCCCTGCGGTGACAGAGCTGCTCCCCAAGCCCAGCCTGCCAGCTCCGTAACGAGTGCTCATTCCATGGCATTGCACTGCCAC